TCCCCCCTTTTTTTTTTTTTTTTTTTTTTTTTTTTGGCTTTTACTGTGTTTCTAATCCCATTCATCTGGGGTACAAATGGTCTATAAAAAAAAAAAAAAACAGGGATAAAAAACATGCATGCAGTGTCTGGTGAGGGTCTGGCTTTCATTTCAGAGACTAATGGTCTGTTTTTACTTTAGTTTTAACTTTTTCAGGCAAACAGAATCATGATTAAACTTCTCTGTTTTTATTCACTTCAGCAATATGAGATAGAATAATAAATAAATATTGTCTCTATAAGACTTTCCTAATGTTACATTTTTTGATCAGATTCGCAAAGAATAATAATGACTGAACTTTATTGCTCTCACACAGGAGAAATTCACCTCTGCGTTTGACCCATCCCCTTGGGAAGCAGAGGGCTGCCATGGTCTGGCGCCCGGTGAGGAGTGTGGGGTTAAAAGGTCTTGCTCAGGGACCCAGAGTGCAGTGTGTGTGGATAGAACCAAGTACTTGGAACCTTCTCAGAGCACAAGCGCAAAGCTCTAAGCAATCAGCGAACCCTCCCAATCCCCAGGACAAAAGAATGCAGCAGCAGTGAGTTTACTTTGTTGGGCTAACACATAGACTAAAGAATAAAGTGACATTGCATCTGTGTATTTGCCTTGAGTTGGTGATTTACCTGCATGCCAGAAACTAGAACTATAGAATAATTTACTGCACACATCAGGTCAGTTTGTTCACTTTGTGTTTTTAAGTTTTTTTTTAAACTGCTTTAGTCCCAATTAAGAGATACAAGTTATCAGCCCTACCCTCCAACAGTGTTCAAAGGTAATTAAATGTGATTCAAATAAAAACATATTAGGACAGCTTTGCATGAGAAAAACTTTTTAAAGAACCTTTATATCACAGAGGACTTGACAGTATATAAAAAGAAAAGGCTTAAAAAATACTCCAAGTCTGAAGACAAATAGAAGTACCTCTCTGACAAACCACTGGCAAAAAGCAGGTCCAATCCACTCCCTGGCATGAACGCCACAGTCAATCCACACGGATTTCTTTTGAGGACGGCTTCTCTTTCCTAGCTGACAGAAGAGAAATCATTGTGAAAAACCTATAGTGTTTGAATGAACTTTTTTCCTTAACATTAATGTGATTGTTGTTACCTGAAGCACATAAAGTGGTCTTCCTTCGTATGACTTTCCAACAGAAAACATAGTAACCAGCTCAGGGTGACTCCTGTTCATCTCAAACATCCAGTCTTGAATCTGTAATGAAGAGAGTCATTTGTAGATTTGGAAACTGCTGAAGAAATGAGCACAGGACTGTAACACTTACCTCTTCCAGTGAGTGGTAAACCTCGTAGTCATACTGAAACTCTGACCTTCGCTTGCGAGTGAACCGATGTGCCATCTGCTTTTCAATTTCTCTCTGCAGATTGGAAATAACCACTCTGTGGAAGGTGCAAACGGAGACAAATATAATTTATGTGACAGAAAGTCATTGTAATGTTTTAACTAGTGAGGCCTTCATCAGTACATGCAGCTATTGGTTTACGATTTATATACAAACATCAGCCGTAGGATGGCAATAACTGGTCAGACTTCAGTTTTCATTTGAACTTTACTTTCTCCATGGTGGAACATAGACCTTACAAATTCTAAAAACATTTCAGCTTCTTTTGTTGCACCTTAAGCACACATGTAGCTTCCTCATTCTGGTTCTGCAGAACCTCATTCTGGTTCTGCTTGACGAAATAGATAGAGCTCATGTTTTGCTGTTAAGATTGAGAGTGATTTGGAAAGATCCCCCAGTAACTCTGCCAAGAGCAGTTTTTAAGTGTGTTTATGATATTAGAAAAACTTCTACAAAATTTCTGACCAAAACAGTCATCCTCAGATGAAAAAATACCCAGGAAGTGTGTTTAAGTGTGCAAAGAGCAGCAAAGAAACAAAACCAAGAACTTTTATTTTATTGATTACAGCTCTTCCAAAGAGTTTGAATCCAAGGCCCAACCTCTTTTTTAACCCTCTTCACAGCCACATTCAGCCATAAATTCCGTGCAAAGCATCAAATAATTGCCATTGTGTATTTAAGTGAGCCATCAGATCATGTCGTTTAATGGTTACCATGGCAACTGCAGCCAAGAGGGCACTAGAAAATGGAGTTCAGCCAAGAAATATTTTGTTCCAATAGGTTGTTGATAATATTTGACACCTGTCAGTTAATTTTCTATGTTGAATGCCAACAGGAATAATAGACTGGTTAACAGCTAAATTAATTTATAAAACTAAAACAAACTAAAATAATATTATAGGAAAGCAGCACATCTATCTATAAAATTTCTATACATGGACAAAATAGTATTGTTTAGGCAACATAATCTTATTATATTTAGAGGTTTCCTAACCTTTTATGGAGTATTTTGGATATTTACTACTACTACTAATAATAATAATAGTGATTATACATTTTATTTCAAAGGTGCCTTTCTGGACAGACATACTTTCTTGACACTCAAGGTCACCGTACAAAAGATAAAAACAACAAAAACAAGAGCTAAACAGACTGTTTGCCCATTCAATTAAATTATATTCAGTTTATTTATATAGGGCCAATTCACAACACATGTCAAGTCAAATTGATTAAATTGATTCAAAGTTTGAACATATTGAACATTATTTAAATCTGCAATACATGGATATATTTTTATTTCTATATTTACCATGAATAGTTTTTTTCACATTTAATTCCATTTGTCTAGTCCATGTACAGTAACTTTATGTGCACTGACCTTCTCCTGTTTAACACCTATGATGAATGGGGATCACGTAATTTTATTGTGATAAAGATAAAAGATTAAATAAAAAGCAATTGAAATTTTTAGGCAACTGTATGGCTTTAATTGTACCTCATGGTCATCAAACCCACATACAAATACCGGTACTTGTTTTAAAAAAATACCATGTTTGGAAAAGGCTTTCTCTAACCATTAGCGACATCTGATAGATCTCAGATACACACATACATACTCATTACACACACTAACTGCATATAATCATTTATTAATTGATTTATTGATATTTATTGATGTCCTATTGGAAACAGGAGAAAGGAAATAGGAAGGTCAGCACTCCTGAAAACTCAGTCAGTGTTTGGACCGAGATCTCTAACACAAGTCAGTTCTTAAATTCAGCAGCTAGGAAATCAAAGGCTGGAATCTCTGTAGAGGGAAAACTCTGGTTAGTGACCACATAAATCTGACAGAGGATGATAACAAGCGTGTGAGTCACTAACCTGGTCTATGCCAAGAAGAAAGGAGTGGAATCCAGCCGGATGGCTACCAACATCGCGCTGCAGAGAGTTCCAGAAGCCGAAGCCTTGAAGAATGCTGAACCAGCTGACGCGAAAATAAAGGAAGTCAGGACTTTCCAGAAGACAAAGCCAAAGCCAGTGTAGAAGAGGTTCACATGAGTCCAGTCCAGAAAATCATAGATCCAAAGATGTACCAAGGGGAAATCCAAGTTGTAGTTAAAAGACAGATCCAGGTTCAGCAAACAAGCAGAAACCAACAAGAGTCCGAAGAAAGGTCAGGCAAACATATCCAAAACAGGAACAGACGGGCTCAAAGATCCAAAGACTACACGGGTCAGGATCAGGCAATCAAAAACACAAACATGTATGCCAAAGAACTCTTACCGAAGGCTTGAATAATCTGGCACTGATGAATAGGAGTAAGCAGTTTAAATAAGGGACCAGAGCAGGTGACACAGATGAACAGTGATGAGAAATTGGGCAGAGCTAGACAGGTGAATGGAATGAACCATTAAGCCAGTCTTCCGTGCCAAGCTCATGACAGTTTGAGGTTTTTAGAAATCCTTAACTGTAATTTACTGCTGTCATGATCAATCAATACTTTGTATTCAGAAAATAGATTATCTACAATAACAATAAACAATACCAACAATGTCCATATAATGACTGTACAGGTAGAAGAAATTGTACCCTTTACTGTGAATGTTGGCTCAGTGTTTCTTCTTCACCTTTTTTAGTGTGGCTGTGTTGACAAGAAGGAAGGAGGTCTTTTTAGAAAAGCTTGATATATTCTGAGAAATATATATATATTTTTATCCTCTTCCCCACCCTTCTTTTCTTAAAGAGTTCTGCTTGTTTTAAGTATGTCTCTGCTTTAACACATATAATGAAGTCATTAAAAGTGTTTACTGTAGGCTGTGGAGGCCATTCAACTAACCACTCTGATGATCTTGCTGAGGAAACTGTTTCGCACCCTGGTTTAACATTTATTTAAAATTACATTAAATCTTTGTAATTGTTTTAGAGCTCTAACTAGTGCAACTGTTTTTCATTGATATAATACCTTAGATTTCCCTATTTACAGGGATTAGATGGTGTCAGTGTGAAGTGGTGGATTAGGTAGGTTTATGTGTGGGTTCTTTCATAACACTAATTATACATCATAAGTCAAAGTGTCTGACAGCTTAATTAGGCCATACTCTATTATCACCATCTGTTAAAGGATTCTTACAGTTTGAAGTTTTTCTTCACTTGCCCCCCAAACAGGCATAGATAAAGTGATCTTTTATCGTCACAACCCTGATGGGAATGTCCATTGAAGTACAAAACATCATCAAAGCCGAGTAACTACAGCACAAACCTTGTTGGAAAGACTCCCAGCACAAAGAACAGATATCATGCTCAGAGCTGAAATGTCTCCCAAAGGACTGCGATGACAATCAAAGCCTTTTAGCAGCGGTTACTTTTAACCGGTTTCAGGCCATGTAAAAGATTTTGGATGCAAGTCATGGCCATATGCAAATCATATGAAACTCATATTTCATGTCTGCAGTAAAGCCGGGTAATTTCAATAACTTCAGGACAACAGATGTGTGTCTATCAGGATGTGAAGGAATTAGTTTTTTTGTCATTGAGAAACAGAGCATCAAGTTTTAGGGGGGTCTTATAAAACTAAAAGAATCCGTGCAGTGAGCTCACCGATATTTGATCCTTTCCAGCTTTAATTGAGAACGCAGGTCTAGTGTGTCATTTTGTTTCACATGAACATCCACCGTGGCATTTTGATGGATTAGAGAAGCACTGTTGGGCTGCCAGAAGTCCACCTAAAGCAAGAAATTAAGCATGAGACCATTTTAGTTATTGAATGCTTGAAATAATAAAAATGAAAAATACTGATGCAGGAAGATGCTTTTGCAAAATCTTTCAGAGACATTTATCCTATTTAGAGTTGAACTAATCCAGCTTTTACTGTTCTGTAATGACTTAAGTGATTTGTATATAATCACACTTGAAAAAATCAGTTATACCCCTTCACATTTTCTGTCATAACCATCCATCCATTTTATTCCATCAGTACTGCGGTGTGCCAATGCCTATCTCCGGCAGTCTATGGGCAAGAAGCGGTGTACAACCTGGATAGGTCACCAGCCTGTTGCAGGGCAAAGCAGACTCACACAAAGACATACAATCATGCACACTTACTCACACAAATTTAAAGATGCCAATTAACCTAACAGTCATGCTGGAGTACCCAGAGAGAACCCACACATGCATAGGTAGAACATGCAAACACCATGCAAAAAGACCCCAGGCTGGGAATCTAACCCGGAACCTTTTTGCGACAAGGCAACAGCGCTACCTACTGCCCCACCAGCATACCCATGTCATAACTCAGGACTCATTTGTCCTTGCAAATACAAATACTTCTTCAAATGCTTACTCAGTAACATCAAGAAATGGGTTTTTATTAATAAACTGCACACATTAACAATATTTAGTTATGCTTCTCATATGCACTGATATCCATTGACGGAAGAGGAGAGAATAGCATACCGGTAAGTAGTAATCCCAATAATACAGCCATCACTAAGTGGAATGTATTTTGATGTCTCAAATAATCAATGCAGAAATTCCATGGGAGCAATCCTAAATCAATAATGTGTAGAAATTAACTAAACCTGAGTCCTATACATAATTTATTCAGACTACCTGCATTTAGCTGCATGCACCATCCTATTAACTCTGATCACCTTTACTGTCTCCTCTTAGGAAAAGCACTTCCACATCATGATGTTGCTACTGTTACAGTAAGTTTCTGGCCTGTCAACTAGCGTTTGTGACTTTATTCCCCTCTCCCTTCTGCTCTGACTGTTCATTTGGCCCTCCTGTGCTGCTTCTGCTCAGCCTATTTATCACTGATTCCTCTCACCTGTTTGCCAGCCTTCTTAAGCAGGCCTCTGACTAGTTGACAGTGCCAGATTGTCTGAAAGCCTTGGTTAGTAAGCATCCAGCATTTTTCTCTGTCTCTTTACCTGGTCCTGACCCGTTTCTGCCTCCCGATTTTTTAGCCTGCCTAGACCCTGTTGGACCTGTTTTTTTGTGCCGCCTGGATCCCAGACCTGTTTCTGTGCCCTGACTTTGTTCCTGGATTCTGTTTTGGATTCTCTGAATTTCTGATCACCTGGCTTTGACTCTGGATCCTCAGTCTGAATGTTAACAGCTACCACCCAAGAACTTTAATTTTGGGTCTAATTTTGCCATACCTCATTATTTTATGCTTGGTGCTTCCTAACACACACTGCTTATTAAGCTATCAGCCGACTGCACTGAATGTTACCCTTGGTCAAAAGGAGGATAAATAAGTAGACCAGTGTTTTTCAATCCTAGTTCTTAAAACACTGCCCTACCTGTCTTGGATGTTGCTTTTACTCTAGATATCAATTGATAGCATATCATCAGGTTTCGCTGAATTGCATTTAGCTGAGTCAGGTGTGAGTCAGGTGTGTTAAAGCTTAGATAAATGTGAAACATTTGGGGCAGTGTGACTTGAGGATTAGGGGTTAAAAATTACTGACATAGACAATCTTCAGTTTTTAATTTATTTTCTCTAAGTATTTATAAAGCCTTTCAAAACCAGATGTAATCTTCCTTGGACTTTTAATTACAATCTAGCACATGGTTGCTGAAGTTGCTGAGATGCTCAACTTGGGGTCATGGATCAAAAGGCATATTTTCAGATAGAAAAAATTATGTTAAACAATAAAAAATAAATTGTCATGGTTTTGGCTCTGTAAGTTTCTTTTTGAGTTTTCATTAGTTTCATTTCCATGTTTTGCTATCCTAGTTGTTTTTGGTTGTATTTAAGTTCCAATGTATATATTGTTTACCCTTTGTTCTCCCCTTGTGTCGGTCTCCTTCCCCTAGCGCCCTTCTAGATGCTTCCATCCACACCTGCTCCTCGTCTGCTGATTAGCCAAGTCTTTGTTCAGTCTCCCATTTTTACTCCTCTTGTTCAGTTACTCTTTGCTGGTTTCTGGTCGTTCCTTGCTCCTCTAGTGTGTTTTCCCTGGCGTCTCCTGTTTTTTGGTTTTGCTGTATTTTCTTTTTGGACTTTACCTTCTGTTGCCTTGGGATCTACATTAAAGCAGCTGAAACTAATCTCTGCCTCCTTCCATCTCTGGATTTGGGGCCTCTTCAAACCTCCCCTCAACCTGACAGAAATAAGGTATATTTTTTCAGTTTAAAGCTATAAAAGTGTAACTCATAAATGGGCAAAATCAAATAAACTGGTTGTGAACGCTGGTATTACTACTATTGTACCTATGGTTAATAGTGATGGGTTAATGAGGCATCTTGAAGCATTTCAACACATTGTCAAACTATATCTATGCTGTTATCATACTCTCACAGAATACGGAAACCTGCTGGACCTTTAAAGACACTACAGGAAGCTAATTTGACAGACTAAACTGAATTGATTCGATGAGCTAGTACATATATAATTTAAGTTATTTTAGGTTATTCTTTTTATTATTATGTATTATTTCATGAGTCAAATTAAAATAAAATTTAATTCAGTTAAGTTGAGTGATAACTGAGAGAAAAAGTATGACGCAAATAAAAACGCAATGGCTAAAACATTCCTATTCCTTTTTAGGCTGCTCCAAATTCTGGATAATTAAAGTGATATACAAAATATTAGACATTTTTTAAGCAGATGCATCATGTTGACGAATACATTTTTAAACACAGTTCAGTGTGTCAGTCAGAAACAACTCCTGCATCGATCACATGACTTTCTTGAAATGACACGCGCACCGATAGTGTTTTGCTCTATGGGGTCGACGCATGCACCAACGCATCGGTGTTGC